AATCAGTAGCAAAGCATGCTTAGAAGAGTATTCAGGCAAAAGTAGGCATACAAAATTTGAAGTACAAATTTCATCAAAGATAATTCCTCTAGCTGGTCCTGTCCAACCGGTATCTCCCATGTATGTATAGATTTATAATTATGAAGTATTCAAACATAATCAATTTGTTGAGGTGATTAAACATGATAAACTTCAAATTACCTGTTGTAACGCATTTTCTTCCTCTATCGGAGATATCTCTCAACATAGAATTTCCTACAACAGTATCAACACATACCTCTATCTGCTCCATAAATCTACAAATTTAAAACAGTTAAAATGTGAGTGAAAAGGTTGCTGTTCAACTTTATAAGGTGTAATTTGAGAAACGAGCTCGGAAAGAATCTACCAATGCAAGGATTGACCTCTTAAACGGGAATTTACCTTAACAATCAGTGACAGTAAAAGATGAAGAAAATGCGGTGTGTATCATGCGAATATACCGGCGGTTGAAAAATTAGGGATTAGGATAGCAATGAGTTTGTTCAGAAAGATGAAGAATTCAAAGAACGGTCATCATCGATTGAGCCTCGGTAACATAGTTCTGATCTTTAGGTAGAGCAGTAAAACAAATGTTTTTTTTTTCGTTTTTTAATATTTTGTATAATAACTATTTTTAATAAATTATATTTTTATATATTTATATTTTTAAAATGATGTTAATGAAATGGGTATTTTATATAATATATATGTTAATAAAATTATGAGATTAAATATATTTAATTATTTCACTTTATTTCAATGTATATGAAATAAAAATAATTTTTAATTATATAAAAATTTTGTATCTTTAATTTATTTTATGAAAAAATAAATAAATTAAATATAATATTTATAAAAGTAAAATATAAGGTCGTCTAAGCTAACACTTTGTTTGTAGGATTTAGTGTTAGAAAGTTGATTATACTATTGAGTTTAACGACAGTATATGGTATTAAGCACTTTTTATATTATCAATTAGTTAAGAAAAATTATTATTAATATAATATTTTTACTTATCTATAAATTTCTTAAGAAAATGAACATATAAATTTTAATTCTTAAGAAAATATTATATATTTTTTTCTAAATTTGGTCAACTTTAACCTCAACTCATAACAACTTCTAAATAACTAAATTCATAAGAATTTTTAAGTCTTTAGAGTTTTAAAATATTTAAACAACAAATTATGCATAATAATAATTTTAATTAATAAAGTTAGAGAAATAGTCTCTAGAGCCATTAGTGATCCTTCCTCCTTCTAACTTCATAATAAAGCTTTGATTCTTCCCTCAAAGCTTAGATTGAGTTGTCGTATTGAGATTCAAAGCCAGGAGTGCAAATAATCATTATTAGAGTCGTTCAACTAAAACTTATAGTCACATTCTTCGTGCATTCTCCTTTTTCTTTTTCTTGTTTGAAAGATCCGAGATAAGAGAAACTTGTAAATTGATTGTTGTTGTATTATATATGTTGATTTTAGCTCGAATTACATGTTTTGTGGTTGTGTTGTAGATTTGAGGAAGGGGGTAGCTTTTTACTTGAGGTTTTTGGGGTTTTGGAGAAAAATATGTAACTTTGGTTCATGTATTGATTGCATGTTGTGTTTCTTGATGAAATTGAGTTGTATAGGTTGTACTGTTTTGAATTACTTGTTGCATGTTGGATTAGAAGTGAGATTGCATGTGGTTGAACTCAAATCGCCATTCTTCCAAGTGCAATAATTGTCTTCACATTGGGAATGACTTCATGACACCAAGCGTGATGTAAGTTAGAGACACTCTGTCTAACTGACACCAGTGGCGAGTAGGTAGTGTTGGGTGTGGGTTAGTTGAGAGTTCTCTAACTTGGCCACGTTAAACGTGGATTGAGGGGCGCCGTTCGTGATTACATTTGGGGCTTTCTGACCTAGTAACATAAGGCACAAGTTAAGTAACACCTAATATAATCAAGTCAGTAACTATCTACCTTAATGAGGTCGGATGCAAGTTATGTAGCGTCAAGCATGGTCAAGCAAAGCCTCTATACTTGGATGATGTTGGGCGTAAGTTTTATAATGTTAGGTGTGTTATACATAGAGACTTTTTGCCTCATTGACGCCAAGCGTTAGAGGATTGTCATCAAGCATGAATGAGCTAGAGGCTCTCTGCCTTATTGGTGTTGGGCACTAGGCATGAGTTAATCACGCAAAGCGTGAATGTGTTGAATGTATATAAGTTGTATGTTGTTCTATGTTGGGTTGTGAATGTATGAGAAGTATGTTGATGTGTAGTCTAGTGTTGTGATATGCATGAGGTATGTTGTAGTGCTGAATTATGTTGATAAAATGCATTATTCATGGAGTTGTATTATGTTGTTAACTCAAGATTGGAGAATAACTCAAGATTGGAGAAGAGGTGTTATTTTAAAAGCTGAAATATCTCATTGAGTATAGTTTTCTCTTAAAGTAGAGTGTTGAGTTTCTTCTAGGTCCTTAGTTGATACCGTATAAGGTTAGGCTAATCATACTAGTTTAGAAGTGGCCAAATCGAGTAAGGTATAAGATCGGGAGCCGTAATCCCTAACTAAATATTGGAAAGATACATAATATTTAGGGGGTAGTCGACAAACTAATTTCATATAGGCTTAGTGATGCATGTCAAGGTTGTAATAGACTCACACCCAAGTTGTTATACCCCTCATATAAATATTGGACTTTTATAGTTGAAGTGAAAAAATCTAAGAAATCATGATGTGTTGTGGATTGATATCCAGATTTGTTTTTGATCTAACAAACTCAAAAAGATCATGTTGTTAAGTTGGTTCGGTAAGGTCAAGTCACCTAGATTGCTCACCTATATTATAAGAAATCTCTTAGTTAAAATGCGTGGTGACGTATTGTGTTGTATTGCTATGTTATTATGTTATTTAAGTTGATATGTTGCTAAGTTGTGTTGAGTTTTAAATTATTGTGTTGTCCTTATACTATGTAGATGTGTTGAATAGTTATTAAGTTGAGAACTTGTGTTGATATGTTATTATGTGTCGCTGATTTGGGCCTTTGGTTGATGTTGTTGGCGTTGATCAAGCTGTTTGTATAATTAGTTTATTACTTTTATAATATTTTTTTATTGATTACGAGCTTAACTTGTATTTTTCTTATTGTTGAATTACAATAATTATATTATTATAGGAGAAACATAAGATAAGATTAGAGAACGAACATGTTTTTGAGAGTCATGCTAAAAATAACATTGTTGGTTGTGTTGTTCTGTTACAATTTGTAAATAGTAGTTGCTTAATTGATAACTTAAGATTTCATGTTTACAGTTAGATGATTATAGATGAGTGTTATAAATTATCTTTGAATTAGTTTTTGGTAATTAATAATTGGTTCGTAAATATGAATAATTTATGCATGAGATCCACACCATCTTTTTCTAATAATTAACTCATCTAAAACAATTTTTACTTTATTTAAGAATCAATTAAATAATGGATAAAATTTACATGGCGTAATTTAGGTATTATTACACTATTCTTCGCTTAGAATTAAAAATTCTTCTTAATAATATACATAAAAACGATTTTATTAAATATCAATGTATATTACTAAAAAAAATATTATAGTTTCAATTGAATAAAAACATCATTAATATCTATTATACTATATATAAATTTTGTATTTTAAAAATTATAGCAGGATATACTCCTAAAAAACATGTGCGATTAAAATTTTAAATCAATTATTATCGAAGGTGTGTAGCATCAATCATAAAGGTTAAATATTCGGATAAAATATCAAACATGGGTATATCAAATTCTAATGGTGTACACAAACCTGCAACCTGATCCGAACTTGCATAAACTGAGAGAATTTTTTTGTTTGTAGGTAGTTTCTCGGCATGTTGTTGGTTAAAGTAGGTTGAAATTTTGGGTAACAATGAGTTTGAATGGACCAATTTAATTTTTAAATTTTAAATCCACCAGAACCCGACCCATTTGTAACAAGTAAAAATAAAAATTATAATGATATTATATAACATAAAAGGGTATTATAATTTAAAAAAACTATAAATTGAATAGTAAATGTAAGATTTTAAGGTTATAATAAAAATATGAATTTAATATGAGTTTTGGGTCATAAAAAATTGAAAATAAAAAAGTGGGTGTTTGGCACTTTGACCATTAGAATTAAAAATATAAAATTATACAATTATGATATATTTTTATTTTTTAATTTTTAAGTTTTTATAAAAAATGTAAAAGGCCTAAAAAAATTTATTAATCGTATTTGTGTTCAAATCATTTAAATCTGACCCAATCCACCCAACACCTATTCAACCTGAACCTTGCATAACTCAAAATAATGTTTGGATGAAAATGAGTCTAAACTATAATATGTGGGTTAGTTCATATTAGACATTTTGAATCCAAACCTGTCTGATGCCTAGTCTTATATGCAATGACTCGGATGTGCGCAAACTAACATAATTTATCCAAAGGGAAAAAGGATATATAATATTAAGAATATTTTGTTAAGAAAGTAGGCAAAATAAGATGCGTATCTACAATCAAGTAACCATTATAAAACAACTCCTCTTTCGTTATTGATAACATTTGTTAAATATTATCTCCCTTAAGTTGATTTGGTTTGCTTCAAAAGAAAAAATATTATCTCCCAAAATACTCTCAAAGTTCAATCTGACACAAAGATCATCACTCCGTTTCAACCAAGGAAGATCAAGGTATTGTGGATCACTCTCCCAAATGGACATAAGTCAAGTTTCAACCTTGTTTCGACCACGTGTTTGGGAGATTTGCATGAATTAACTTTGAAGCTGTCTTTCTTTCTTCCCTTTAAATTCTAAATAAAAATAGCAGAAACATTTACGATTTATTGTCTTCTAAATTTTAACTTTTTTCTTTTGTTGAATTCTAAGTTTTAATCATAATATTAATAGAGCAAGTTAGCTAAATAGTAGATTGCAAGGGAACTGAAATTTACAAGAAATTGCAAAAAAAATGTGAAATAAATTTGATCCTGATTAAGATTTCCTTTATCTTGCTTCGAAATGTGCAACACGCAAATTCTCCGCACACAAACTGAATGATTCAAAACACAGCTTCATTTTCCATGAGAAAGCAAAACGAAACCTTGTAAGTCAAGCAACCACAACAAATCCAATCTTCACACAAACTCACTCTCTCTCGCACTCAACACTCCAGTTTTCCTCTCATTATCTGTGCTAAGCAAATCAGAGCAATGCTAATCCACAAGAGTTCCCGAAAACACCATGCACGACGACGACCTTCCTCTTCCTTCCCCTTTCGCCGACGCGGCTCCCAATTTATCCGAACTGGAGCTCCGGGAAACGGCCTACGAGATCCTCGTCGGAGCTTGCCGGAGTTCGGTGGCGAAGCCGTTGACGTTTGTGTCGCACTCTGACTCTAACAGAGGAGATAGACGGAATCCGTCGCCGTCATTGTACAGGTCGCTGACGTCGACGGCGAGGAGTAAGGTGAAGAAGAAGCTGGGTCTGAGAACGACGTCGTCAGGGAATAGACGGGCGGGGACGACGGGGGAGTTGATAAGAGTTCAGATGAGGGTTTCGGAAGTGACTGACACTAGGGTCAGGCGTGCCCTCCTTAGAGTAGCTGCAGGCCAGGTCTCCTTCTGCTCCACTTTTTTTTATTAATAATTTTAATTAGAGTTAATTTAAGAAAAGAGTGAACTTACTCTTATCTGAAATCACTTGTTCATTTTTGTTCTCTTGTCTCATCAATAGAGAAACACTAATTTTGTCTCATTGTGCTCTAATATACTTCTGAAGTAACTCATAAAAAGGCCACCTTACTTGAATTCGTAATAATTTGTGAATTTTTTTTCTTCTGTGATAGCAATTAAAAAATGATCCATGGATGAAAAGTAATATTTTCAGTCCTATTTATTATTATTATTTTTACCTTGTAAATTTTAAAGGGACGTGAAATGGGACTCAGATGAGAAATGTGATTTCCATCCATCTTGACTTGTCTACTTTTGTTCAAGGATCAATGGTTATTATGTTTGGCCAGAAAAATGTTACATTTGTTTTATTCCTTTATGAATAAGTGACCTTGAGACGTGTAGACTAAATTCTGAAGTTTCAATATTCACTTGATGGTAGCTAACTGACTAGGTCTTTGTTCTTAAAATAGCTTGGAAGACGAATAGAATCGATGGTTCTGCCGCTTGAGCTAATACAACAGCTCAAGTGTTCAGATTTTCCTAGTGAAGAAGAGTACGAGGCTTGGCTAAGGAGGAATTTGAAGGTTCTTGAAGCAGGACTCCTCTTGCATCCTAGCCTGCCATTAGATAAGGCAGATACTTGTGCACTGCGCCTGCAGCACATAATCCATGAAGGCCTTGAGAAACCCATGGATATTGGAAAAGACAGTGAATCAATGCATGCACTTCGGAGTGTTGTTCTGTCTCTTGCTTGGAGAGCACTCGAGGGGCCTGTTCCTGAGACATGCCATTGGGCTGATGGGTTTCCACTGAACCTTAGGATCTACCAAACTCTGTTAGAAGCATGTTTTGATAATCATGACGAAACCTGTGTGATAGAAGAGGTTGATGAGGTCTTAGAGCTCATTAAGACGACCTGGGTTATGCTTGGAATGAATGACGTGCTGCATAATGTTTGTTTTTCCTGGGTCTTGTTTCAACGGTATGTTGCCACTGGTCAAGTGGAAAATGATCTGCTGTTTGCATCGAGTAATTTACTGGCAGAAGTTGAGAAAGAAGCCAAGGCAATGAAGGATCCGTTTTACTCACAATCCTTGAAATCCACATTGAATTTGATGCTAAGTTGGGCAGAAGAAAGGCTCATTGCCTACCATGATGCTTTCCATAATGGTAATATTGAATCAATGCAAAGTGTTGTTTCTCTTGCGGTATCATCTGCAAAGATTTTGGCAGAAGATATCTCTATTGAGTGTAATAGGATGAGGAAAGAAGCTGATGTATCCTTCACCAGGGTTGAAAATTATATTACATCATCTTTGCATGCTGTTTTCGTTCAGGCAAGTTCCACCATTCAAACTTCCCTCCCTCAGCAGTAGCACTAACAATCCTTTTCTTTAAGACTATAATTTCATGCATTGTTTTTTATACTGTTGGACTAATCATAAATCATTTAGGTATGACTTTAAAAGTAATTATATAAAAATCAACTCATTTACCATGATAAAAATTGTGATTAAATGATAGTGTGAGATACCTTTATACTCATTCCATTCTAACTACATTCTTTCTTTAGAGTTTAATTTTAATGTTTAAGTGCATACCAATTGATTTACTCGTACTGTTATACACCACCTCGGGGGTACATGTTTGAATGCTTATGAATCTTTACAAAGCTATTTACCTAAATTTGGTGGCAACAACTTGACTACTTTTTCCTTTTAAGCAGAAATTGGAGAAACTGGATTGTCGCAACAGCAAGCATGTACCTAAACAACAGGATAAAGTCTTTCCAAGTCTCTCCATTCTTGCACGAGACATCAGTGAACTGGCTTTTAACGAGAAGGCAATATTTAGTCCCATACTGAAGAGATGGCATCCACTTGCTGCTGGTGTTGCAGTTGCTACCCTTCACGTGTGTTATGGTCATGAGTTGAAGCAATATGTCAAGAGTGTTACAGAGTTGACTCCTGATGCTGTAGAAATGTTAATGGCAGCTGATAAATTGGAGAAAGATCTGGTACAGATAGCAGTGGAAGATTCAGTTGACAGTGAAGATGGTGGAAAATCCATTATAAGGGAGATGTGTCCTTATGAGGCTGAAGCGGTAATTATCAATCTGGTCAAGTCATGGATCAAGACCAGAGTGGATACACTGGAGGAGTGTGTTGACAGAAATCTACAAGAAGAGGTATGCCAGATTTTGTTGCTGATAATCATCTAATTGAAGTCAAAATTATTTTTAAAAATATGCTTGTTTCTCTTCCTCTTTTCTTTGTCAAGAGAAAATTTGTAAAATATAAGATACCATGCAAACTAAGATGGAACAATGCCTAAGTTTATATATATATATATATATATATACGAGGAGAAATCCGTTTATTTCAAGAATAAGTCTACCTAAACTTATTTCGTTTAATATTTCATGTTTTACATTAAATTTCAACAATACAACCGTTGAATTTAAGGTTTTTAATAAATTTTAAAAAAGTTTGAAAGCTATTGGATACTTTGTTATATTAATTCAAATTGAAGGATAAAATGATTTTATGATTATCTGTCAATTTGAATTAATGAAACAAAGTATTAAATGATTTTTAAATTTTTTTAAAAATTTGCAAATTTGATCTATGCATCAAGAACTTTAAATTCAACAATTGGATCATTAAAATTTTATGTAAAACTTAAGTTATTGGATAGATTGGAATAAACGGATCCCTCATCTCTCTCTCTTAATACTAGGTTACTGTGAATCAAATATTAGAAATCTGGGGATTATTTTGTTGTGTCATTACTCATTACTCTAAAATTAAATGCATTTTTCTTTGTATATTTTTGGGGTGCTGGTGTATCTAGTGTCTTCTCTTCTACAAACTTGATTTTGAAGCTAAATAATGCTTTACACTAGACACCTACTGCCTGCAGGTATGGAATCCACGTGCAAATAAAGAGTGCTTTGCTCCTTCGGCTCTTGAAATTCTAGGAATCATAGATGACGCTGTGGGAGCGTTCTTTCAGTTGCCAATACCCATGCATGCAGTATTGCTTCCTGAATTGGTGTCTGCTCTCGACAAATCTCTCCAACAATACATCTTGAAGGCCAAATCTGGCTGTGGTATATATTTACTCCATAGCATTTGATATAACCAAAAGAGTTACTGAATAGTCCCAATATTGACCATGCTTTAATTTCATATATGATATGCAGGGAACCGCAATACTTTCATCCCAATCATGCCTGCTTTGACTCGGTGTTCGGCAGGATCAAAATTTCACGGTGTATTCAGGAGAAAAGAGAAGTCACAAGTAACTCAGAGAAGGATATTCCATCGTGGAACTACAAACGTAGACAACTCATTTGAATTGCCCCAGTTCTGTGTTCGCATAAATACCATGCAGCGCATTGGCATGGGACTAAGGGTTTTGGAAAAGAGGACAATTTCTCGTCTTGGGAATTCTAAATCCACTCAAGAAAATGGTACAGAAAAGGGGTTGAATTTCAAGCTTTCTAAAGCTGCTTCTGTGGAAGGTATCCATCAACTCTCTGAGGCCATGGCATACAAAGTGGTTTTCCAGGATCTACGTCATGTTCTTTGGGATGGCCTATATGTTGGTGAAGTTTCATCCACTAGAATTGAGCCTTTTCTTGAGGAGCTTAACCAATGCTTGAAGAACATATTGTCAACAGTGCACGACAGAATCATAACACATGTGATTATTGAGGTAATGAAGGCTTCTTTTGATGGGTTCTTGTTGGTTTTGTTAGCTGGGGGTCCAGCACGTGCTTTCTCTCTTGAAGACCATGTCATAATAGAAGAAGACTTGAAGTTTCTCACTGATTTGTTCTGGTCCAATGGAGATGGTTTAGCTTCTAATTTGATAGAAAAACATTCTACCACTGTTAAAGAAGTGCTTCCCCTGTTCAGCATGGATACTGAAGAGTTGATTAAGCTATTCAGTGAGCTTATTCTGGAAATGTATGATTCTTCAGCCAAATCACACTTGCCGTTGCCCACAACATCTGGTCAATGGAGTCCAAAAGAACCAAACACCCTTCTGCGGGTTTTGTGCCATCGAAATGATGACACAGCTTCTAAGTTCCTTAAAAAGAACTACAACTTGCCTAAGAAGTTCAACCACCAATGAACACGACATGGTATCAGCAGTAATATTCTTAATCAAAGAATAACTTAAGGGAAGTTGTGTCATGATGCTTTTATTGACGACTAAGATGATTCAAATTAGTATTTGTAAACTGTAATTAGTAATTGTTTGTTTTAATCATTTTCTCTGGTAAGGGCCTTTCGTATTTTCTTCCCCGCCAATTGACTTGAGATTGATCACATAAATGAAAATTCTTCATTTTAGGTCAACCATAAAAGCATAAAATTTGACTAAATAAAGGATTTTCATAAAAAATCATCATTATTATTATTATTTTTTTTATCAGGAACCATTAATTTAAGTGTAGTGTAAGAGTACTGTTCCTAGCACGATACTCTGATACAGCCGAGGCTCTTTCAAGTTAATGTGTTCTGAGAAAGTGTAAATTACAATTTTATTACGTCAAACTCAAAAAGTCTATTTCTCGAAATTAGTTTCATTCTCTTGTAGTACATATTTTCCTTCTTAAAATGGAGACATGGTTAATTTTCCTCTTAAAAATTTAATCTCATATTATAAATCTAAATCTTCATCTGAAAAAAGAGTAATTTTAATAGTTACTATTATTTTTTAATGAAGATATTCTTGAATTATTTCTTAACTAGTAATTTAATATGTGTATAAGGTAAACATTTATTTTATATACCATGATAATTAAAATGAAAAAAACCGTAAGAGTAACTTTAACAAAATAAAATCGCAAAACTGACTTTAGTTTTATCATACAGACACACCTTTTGAGTTATACAGAGGAACAATCAAGTGTGCACAGCCATAGAGTCAGACTTCATACTCACCATTCACTTTCGTGTTGGAATTCTATTCTATCATAAAATTAATCATGTTTAGTGTCTACATATCAATTTCATTTCTTTTTTTCATCACAAATATATATATATATATATATATATATATATATATTCGAAATATAGTACTTTCAAACACTGAATATAAATAAGTTTATAATAAATGAATAATTTTGAAAATATATTGAATTATAATTAAAATTTATTATAAATATTTTTAACATATAAATCATATTTCAAATTTACTAAATAATTTATATTATAATATGATATTATTTTTACTTTTAAATATTTTTTTAAAATAATATAATTCCTCTAAAGTGAAAGGTGCACTTAAGAAGATAAAGTGTAATAATAATTGTTGATTAAAAAATCAACAAATAAAGAATTGTGATAAAATCAAATACATGTACAACAAAATTTAAAATTAACTATAATATTCATTGTTAAATTTTTTAATCGAAACAGTTATTATTATATTTTATTCTCTAAAGTGATGAGGTTTCATTTTAAAGGAGTCAAATCTTTTATAAAAAATACTGAATTCAATATAAAATAAAAAAAATATTAAAAGAGATGAGAAATTAAGCAAAATATCTGAAAATATTATTGTTGGAAAAAAAAAAATCAGTTAAAAACACTCATCAAATATTTCTTCCTAAAAATTCAGTCATAAATGTCTCACCATAATCCTAACTAGTCGTGGAGAAGCATTTGGAGCGCCTAGGACATTATCTCAGAAGGATGCAAATGGAAAGTGGGAAATGGAGAGAGCATTCCAATGTGGAAGGAGGCGTGGCTAAAGAATACAATAAGGAAAGGGTGTGCCATAGGGTTGGAAGATTGACTGAATTAACATCATCTTTGAATCGGTCAACAGAGATGCAATTTAATTTACGCATCCCCTTTATAAACCTTGAATCGGAAGATCAATGTGTTTGGAGATGGAGTAAAAATGATTGCTACACAGTACGATCAACATATCATGGGTACATTAACGAGGTGTTGAATGTTGAACACTTAAAAGTAGAGGGAGAATGAACATTGCTTTGGAAGTTGCCCATCCTGTCTAAAGTCAACATATTTCTCTAACGTCTTTGTAGGGACTGCATATCCATGAGATCAAATCTCCATGGTAGATGTGTTCACTATCCCGTAAGTTGCATGGTATGTGACAACAACATCGAAAATTCGTTGCATTTATTTATTGGCTGTAATAAAGTTCGTAGCTAATGGGCCACCAACCTCTTAGATGCTAAAATCGACACTAATGAACCAAGTGATGAGTATGAAGGATCTGCAGGTTATGTTATGCATATGCATATATAAGGGTTATATATTGTTGCTTATTGATTATTTCACATATAACTTATAATGATTTGATATTGTTCAATTTAGATTTACATTCTCATGATTTTCTTTTGGATGATCATCTAAAATGTCTCTTTTAATAGAATATGTGTATGATTTATAAAGTTTGTTATAATGATGAATTGTAGTAGGATATAGCATGTGTTTGCATTCGCGTTTGAAACGTAAAAAATCATGTTTAACTGGAAATAATGAATAATAGTTTTCACGTTAAACGTGATTTTTTACGTTTTAAACAAACACGCGTAGCCTTTCATGCACTTGGGAAGTGGGACACTTAGACAGGCCTCTGAATTTGCTATGCTACTCTAAGCATCTGGACTAGTAGGAAGTTGGTACTATGGGAAGGTATGGAATGGAACTGCAGTGAGATAGTTTGTCTGTGGATGGACCCTGGCTAGACAACAAACGAACACACACCATCCTAAATCGAAACCCAGCAAGCAAACTCAGTGGCAACCGTCAAATGCAACCTAGACGCAACCTTCTTCAACGACAAAAACAACTATGGAATTGGTACTTTGGAACATTTTTGAAGGCAAGAACATTAAGTTGGGTTGGATAAGGTTTCTATTGAAACAGATTCACAAAGGGTAGTTTGTGACATCTTCACATATCATATGTACACGTAGAACAATATTAGCAAATTTTGTTGCCCATGGTTTGGCTAGGGCTTCGATTATCAATGCTGACCTGAAAGAATATAGCCATATTCTAGCAAGTATTCTCAATCAGATTTTATTTGAAATGAAGTAAATGACTATTTGTAAAAAAAAATCTATCAAAAGATAATTATTCTAATTTATATAGAGAAAGAAATTGAATTTCAATAATTTTTCAAAAAAAAATGACAATAATTAAATATAATGTTGTATTAGAATTCAAATTATTTATTATACATATTTATCATAAATTGTTGTTGTATAATATA